GGTTGTGATCATGTGATAGACAAATCTAAAGAAAACATATGGGAAGCATCCAAGGTCTATGTTCCCAAAGGGTTCCAAGTTGTCTTTGATGCCAATGGAGTGGAGACTTTACAGGAGAGCTATAATCACTTGGCACCTGGTGGAAAATTAGTTGTTTATGGTATGTGCCTTTACTCGGTTAAGTGGTGTCTTCACAGAACATCAATCTCATTGTGAGAGGGTGTACTTCTCTTGCATCTAGGTCAATGCATTCATAAGGATTTGCATGTAGTACCTTCAAGATATTCAATTGCATATGAGGCATAGCAGCTTGTCAAAGAACTCTTTGACTAAGTGCTATTCTTAAATAGACCACTGCATTTATCTGGGTGCAGAGTTCATGTATGTTTTTATTACAGCTTGGGAAAGAATTCTTCAAATAAGTACTGCTCTGGGACTGCTCCACTAATATACTTAAGCTGTGCTTATTAACTTTTTTGTCCCAAAAACGGCCCTTATTTAAGGGAGATACTTACTCAGGAATAATGCTTATGCAAGTAAATATGATATGTTATGGTCTTGGGTGAGACCCCTTAAATTTCCTAGTACCTCTTCCATCCAAGAGTATTAGTGGGTATTGTCAAGATGTTAGACAAACTTGAAAAAATATTGGGGCGTGAATATTGTGATGGACTAGCAGCCTATCTAGGGAGGGGGGAAGGAGGCAATAATTTTTGTCACTTCTTGCCATGGAAAGTAGGTTAAGCTCTGTTTAGATGAACCACTTCACTCCATAGCTGACTTTGTGTTTATGCCTTTACAGGTTTTCATACAATGCTTCCCAGATCCAGTGATACTAGTTCTGGGAATATCAGTTTATGGCAGTGGATAAAAATAGCAGTCAGCCTCTGGTACACTCCTAAATTCGATCCTGTGCAGGTACAATTCATGGTCTGTTCTAACACTCTCATTTCAATTTATTATTGAAGAGATAACTGCAATTTCAAGGGACTCTATAGAGTTGCAGACTATTAGGATGAGACTAAAAATGAAGAGAGAGGTGAATTGGTCGATGTTTGGACTGCCTGACTGGCTGATTGAATGACTAACTGAGTGAAGGACTGACTGATAGACTGACTGACAGACAGACAGTTGAGTGACTGATTGAAAGACTGACAACCAGCTAACAGCTAACTGACTGACTGATAGACAGACTTACTGACTCACAGATTAACTGACCAACTTACTGACTGACTGTCTGACTGACTGACTGAAATACTGCAACTGACTGGTTCATTGACTGACTGACAGGCTGACTGAAACACTGACAATCGACAGACTGTCCGACACTTGACCGGCTGACTGATCGACAGACTAGCTGGCTGATTGACTCAGTTACTGACAACTGGATGACTGACTGATTTGACTGACTGACTGACTGACAACCCACTGAATGTTTGGCTGGCATATTGGCAGACTGCTTAACAGGCTAGCCAACAACTGACTGCTTGGTAGCCTATCTGACTTACCAACTGACTGAGAACTATCTGACTGACTTACTGATTGGCACATTCATTCACTTCCTAACTGATTGCATGTTCTCTGATCTCATTAGATGACTGATGAAAATAAAAGTATCATGGCATTCAATCTGAGCTTTCTCTTTGATCGACGAGACATTTTGGAAGAGAGCATGACGCAACTTCTATACTGGGTAAAACAAGGCACCCTCAAAGTCAGCAAAGTGACTCCATATCCTCTGAAACAAGTGGCCAAAGCACATAGTGATTTGGAGTCGGGGAAAACTATGGGCAAGCTTGTACTCACCATGGATGAATGACAAGAAAAATAGAACTGCATGAGGAGCTCCTGACAGTATTAACTCTTGTCAAAATAAAAATTGTAAGCAATTGTAAGGGAACACAATTTTCACAGCAAGATGGAACAGATGATCCATGGCTAACTTATTTGTCAGTGAAGATGTCTGAATAAAATTGTGACACCGGCACTGAGGCCTGCGTTTGTTTGTTTATGATAATGATTTGTCACTCTTGGTTGTGGCGAGGGTTTGCGGTGAAGCGATATTGCGTAATTTTTGGTGAGGTTTTTCGGGAATTTGTATTTTAGCGTGCAGCATTTTTTTCAAAGGCTATGCTCTTGCGGCTTCAACACAATTTAGGTTCCCGTAATCGGCATAAAAAAGGGCTTTCGATAGCCATGTTAGAACTTGTTGTGTTTCACAGGAGGGTCGTGTCACGCCATCTTCGATCCTCTCGCTTTTGGTGTGGCTCAGTAGACGACTACAAAAGGCTCACACTTTGCGCATAATATTTCTAGTGTCATACTGAAGCCTTGTTCTGTTTATTCTCACGCAATATTGCAGTTTTGTTTCGTTAATCGTTGTGGTTGAGCCGCGGTCTAGACTTCAGACTGGCGGAAATGAGAGAGAGAGGCTTGAGGCAAATACAAGTAACGCCTGACTGAATTTGACCAATACATCCTTGAACTCTGATCATAAGTTGGAATATTCTAGCTTCAAGAAAATTCGCTCCTTTCACTGTATTTTTTTCCAGCGTCTTTAAGCATGATTTCCATCCCTTCTGCAGGTGGATATGATAAGCTCGAATACAAGGAGCTTTCAGAAGGTGAATTTACCGAAGGTGCTAACATCAGAATGAATGATAACATCACAGAAGACGATCTTGTTGTTGTGAAGACTTACGCAAGCGGTGTGAACTACGCCGATGTTTGCATTCGCTGGGGCGTATACGAGTCAGCTAAGAAATTTGTTGGATGGCCGATCACTCCTGGATTTGAATTTAGCGGAGAAATCGAAAGCAAAGGCAAAAATGTGACGAAGTTTAAAATCGGCCAAAAAGTATTCGGAGTGTCGCTATTTGGAGGGTACTCGAAGCGGGTTAGAGTACCTGAGCATCAAATATTTCCAATGCCAGAAAATCTTGACAAGAACGAAGCAGCTGGTTTCCTGACTGTGGCTTTGACAGCTTGGTATGGGTTATTTGAACTTGCAAGACCCAGGGGTGAAAGCTGGATACTCATTCACTCTGCCGCTGGAGGGGTGGGAAGTATGCTGGTTCAACTCGCAAAGATCCGTGGTTGTCACGTGGTGGGCGTAGTGGGCGGAAGTCATAAAGTGAACATGGCCAAAGAATTAGGTTAGTTAACTCCACTGCTGAAGTAACATACTTCAGCACTTTTCTGCAAGAAATCAACTATAGAGTTTGAAACTTAGGAAACATCACTTTTTTTTATCCCCTGGGTGGGGAGGGAGGCAGAGGATTTTGGTTATGCAACAAGAAAATTTAACTGATCCCCCTATATGGCTCTGTAACAATCTTATGATCCCCTCTTACTGACAGTCAATTTTCTATATTCTTCCATAGTTCTCCTGTTGACAACAATGAATCCCACTTCTGTTCCCCCTGAAATCCATGTGATCCTCACTAAAATCCTCTGACCCCTGGCAATAATTAGTGACAGGTGCCTTACTCCTCAGAGCCTTGCATAGGGTTTGTATGGGTCTTGGAAAACCAGGACAGTCCTGGAATTTTATGGTGACATTTTCTAGGGCTTGAAAGTCTTCTATGAAATTTTAGGAAACTTGTATACTCAGTGTCTTTTTGTTATGGTTAGGTTGTGATCATGTGATTGACAAATCTAAAGAAAACATATGGGAAGCATCCAAGTACTATGTTCCCAAAGGGTTCCAAGTTGTCTTTGATGCTAATGGAGTGGAGACTTTACAGGAGAGCTACAATCACTTGGCACCTGGTGGAAAATTAGTTGTTTATGGTATGTGCCTTCTCTCAGTTAAGTGGTGTCTTCACACAACTTCAATCTCATTGGGAGAGGGTACACTTCTCTTACATCTAACTTTATGAATTCGAAAGGGTTTACATTTAGTACCCTCAAGATTCCCAATTGCATATAGTGCATAGCAGCTTGTGAAAGAACTCTTTGACTAAGTGCTGCACTTTAATGGACCACTGCATTTATCTGAGGACAGAGTTTATTAACATTTTTATTACAGCTAGTTAGAGAATTCCTCAAATAAGAGCTGAACTGGGACTGCAGCACCATTATTCATACCCTGTGCTTTTTAACTTTTTTGTCCCCAACGCAGCCCTTATTTGAGGGGGATGCTTATTCAGGGGTAATGGTTAAGCAAGTAAACATGGCATGCTATGGCCTTGGGCAAGACCCCTTAAATTGCACTGTGGTTCTTTTCATATAGGAATATTAGTGGGTACTGTCAAGATTTTAGACAAACCTGGAACAATTTTGGGGCGTGAAACTTGTGATGGACTGATGCCCTATCCACAGGGGTGTCAATACTTTTTGTCACTTCTTGTTGTGGAAAGTGGGATGAGCTCTGTTCAGATGAACCACTCCACTTCATTGCTGACTTAGCATTTATGCCTTTACAGGTTTTCATACAATGCTCCCCAAGTCTAGTGATACTGGAGCTGGATACATCAGTTTATGGCAGTGGATAAAAATAGGAATCAACCTCTGGTACACTCCTAAATTTGATCCTTTGAAGGTAAAATTCATGCACTGTTCTGACATTCTCATTTTCAAGGGACTCTGTGGAGTTACAGACTATTATGATGAGACTAAAAATGTCAAGAGAGGCCAATTGATTGATGTTTGGACTGGCTGACAAGCTGATTGACTGCCAGACTGACTGACTGACTGACTAACAGATAGACACTTGACTGACTGATAGAAAGACTGACAGACCAGCTAACAGCTAACTGACTGACTGATAGACAGACTGACTAACCCACAGATTAACTGAATGACTGACTTACAGACTGACTGAGTGACCAACTGACTTATGGACTTACTGACTGTTAGAGTGACTGACAGACAGACACTTGACTGACTGATTAAAAGACTGACAGACCAGCTGACTTACTGACTGAAAGACTGAAACTGACTGGCTGACTGACTGACTGACTGACTGACTTTCAGACTGACCGACTGACTGGCTCACGTACTGACTGATAGACTGAAACTGACAGGCTGATTGACTGACTGATGGACACTGACTGACAACTGACAGACTGTCTGACACTTTACTGACTGACTGTTCGACAGGCTTGCTGAGTGGCCGGAATGACTGACTGACTCACCAACAACCCACTAAATATTTGGCTGGTGGATTGGTAGACTGATTGACAGAGTGGCCAACAACTGACAGACTGTCTGACACTTTACTGAGTGATTGATTGCCAGGCTGGCTGAGTGGTTGAATTGAATGACTGACTGACAACCCACTGAATATTTGGCTGGCAGTTAGCAGACTGATTGACAGGCTGGCCAACAACTGGCTGACTGCTTGGTGGCCTGGCTGACTTACTAACTAACTGAGAATTGCTGATTGATACACTCATTCACTTCCAAACCAATTGCACATTCTCTAATCTCATTAGATGACTTCAGAAAATAAAAGTATCATGGCATTCAATCTGAGCTTTCTCTTTGATCGACGAGATATTTTGGAAGAGAGCATGGCACAACTTCTATACTGGGTAAAACAAGGCACCCTTAAAATCAGCAAAGTGACTCCATATCCTCTGAAACAAGTGGCCAAAGCACATAGTGATT